TTAGAATTTCGAATGTAACAAGACAACCGTGCATATTTATTGTAAATGTGTTGTGTTAGCCAGGTAATACCATCCTCCTTCGCAGGGCTAAAATCCTCCGGTTCCCTTCCGGTTTTAGCCCTGCTATTTACCGCTGACAGTTTGACTTCTGGTGACGTCACTTATAAATAATTCATGAGCTTGCCTTATTTGGCACAAACCAATCAGCGCCGGGGGGCTTGCCCTAACTCTGTCTCGGCTTTGGCCAGGGCTTTGGCCGCTGCTGGGAAGCCCATATAGCACAGGCTCTTCCCTCCTCCTGTCCGCACACTCAGAAAAACGTCTCTGCCATCAAGCAGCGCCCGTAGCGTCGACTGCTGATGCTCACGAAGCCGCTCGACTCCAAATAAATCTTGCACGGCTCGCACGAAACTTCTAGCCGCCATCTTGGCCTGTCCCAACATGGGAATGTAAGACGTAACCTGATTGGCTAATAGGTTCCCAGCGACCTTTGCGGTTTTTGCGCAAAGCTCGGTGCGCAAATTCTCTGATTGGCTGACAGCAGTTTGGCGGTGACGTCACCAGAAGTCAAACTGTCAGCGGTAAATAGCAGGGCTAAAACCGGAAGGGAACCGGAGGATTTTAGCCCTGCGAAGGAGGATGGGTAATACTAGTTATGTCAATTATAATCAGCTAAGGTCATTTTTTGGTGTCATGAGCACTTTAAGAGTTTATTGTGTTCTAGATGAATATCATGCACATATTACACTCCTGTATGTTTGGATCTCCTATGTCTGTTCTCCATAACTGCTTTTGTTTAATAAACGGCCACAATTATGTATATATCCAACTGAACGTTTGGAACCGTATTGTTACTCAAGATACAGTTCCTTGTAATATGTGTAGATATGTAACGCTTAAGTATTGTACATTTGGGAATGCATCAGCAGCGACACCTGTGCTGCTGTGCAATGTGAACCAGTCAGAACTGCCCTGAGAAAGGTGACAGACGGTTCACCAAAACGTCAGCTGTGAAGAAAGTACTTGGTTGTGTAAAAAGAGTCTCTTACTAAGTAACTTACCTGTGAACTTATGAAACTATTCGCGGATGAAGAGCTATGTCAGGTTGAAGACAAGGTTCTGATTTTAGAACTAAGAAGGTAAGCCACAAGCCTGGCTCACATGCTGACCACAGTGTGACACAGTTTATGTCAGCAACTTGGTATCTCCCGGAATTTAGTCTCGCACAGCAGCTAGAGTGATTATTTTGTACCCTTTTATATGTCGAATGTTTACAGCCCTACTCAAACTAAACATAACATTATTCAGACTTTTGCCAGCATGATTGATTGATTGATTGATTGATTGATTGATTGATTGATCGATCGATCGATCGATCGATCGATTGATCGATCGATCGATGAATGAATGAATGAATGAATGATTGATTGATTGAAATGTTCTCATATGTTTCATCAGGACACCTCTCCATGCAGATGTTTTCCACTCCTACAGCTGGTCAGCCAATATCTGTGGACGTAAACAGTGGCTGTTCTTCCCACCTGGGCAAGAGGAACAGGTAACCATGGTTACAGACTTCCCTCCCATCTTCTCTACTAAGACTAGTTTTGTGTCTGATAACGATTTTGCTCAGTTGATATCTGAGCGTAGTCAGTACCAACAAGTCATCTGTGAATCACCAGGTCTTCTCACACACCGCCATATGTACACATGTCCAAAGAACACTGGCCAACTTTGACCATCCTGAGGCTCTTATTCATGGAATGGAGTCTGTCATGGTTCCAAAGGTCTGACAAACAAACATCCTTCCAATTCTTCATTTCACTTCAGTAAAAATAATCAAATCTGCATTATTGTTTGCTTCTCAAAAGGACATTGTTTACTGCCATGCTCACCATGATATTAGCGGCAACATTTAATTGCAGAAATCAAGGTTTAAAAATCACATTTTTAACTTCAATGCAGAAATAAAGAATTGGAAGGAAATTAAGACTTGCAAGATTCCACGTTCCCCTTTGTTCATTGAATCAAATCAACTCAAATCAACTGATATCTGAGTAGAGCATGCCAAAAACATATTGAAGATTTCTGGTTTTGAATGGGGCAATGTAACAGTAGTTTTGGAAGCTAATTTTTGTCCGTTTTCTTCATATGTCGGACATGACATCAGAAAGTGGAATTTGTCTTCCATATCCTCCTTGCATGTCAGGTATAATCTCTGATTGCAGTGTCGGCCCTTTTCAATTCCCAGACTGTGAACTGATTAGTAAAAGATTTGTTTTGAATTGACGATACACATTTTTACAGACCGAATGCCCATCACGCTGGACTACAAACAGTGTGTAACTGTTGTAATTGGTATCATCTCGTCTTAAACAGGAACTGGAACTGTTGTATTTCAGCGTCATTGGCAGCAAAAGCTCTAATCCTATATGTGAGTACTGTATAGACTTGTATATCTTGCATAGTCCAAGAAACATTCAGAATATTCTTTGATAAAAGACAAGAGATCTGACTCCTGTTTTATTTAATGAAAGTAATTGTCATTGGGTTGCTTTCACCAGCTACGTGACACTACTGGAAGTCTTGTGTATGATGTAAGATCAGAGGAACTTCTGAACTCCAAAAGATATCCACACTACCACAAGGACACCAGACCCATGGAAGTCATTCAAGGCCCTGGGGAGGTTGTGTTTGTGCCCAGTGGCTGGCACCATCAAGTGTATAACATGGTAAATAGTTAAAAACAAATCTTCATACAATGTCATGCAGTGCAACTAGATTTTTCATTTACACAGTCACTGCGATAATGACTGCAGACATGTATAAATACATGTATTAGCAAGGCTGAAAATTACACATTAAAACTCCAAGTAGCAGTTTCACATATAGCCCTATCTGACACTTAAGAGTAGAAGAGGAGAATTTGTTCATCACATGTATAGCAAAAGCTAACTAGATTATAAGCACTGTACATTTTTTTTGCTGACAAAAAAGTTACCTGAAAATTTCTTTAAAATCACTGTACAAAAAAAACATGTTATTCTAAAGCATAACTTCAATGAAGTTGTTAGACATTTGGAAACGTAGGGGATAAATTTTCAGTATTTGATGTGATGTACATTTTGGATGCCAGTCACTGTAATCTGTAAAGTGTGCAGAACTTCAAGTCAGGGGACAGAACTGATGTAGATGTACAATGTAAATGTACATGTACATGTATGTTCCCTGAATAACATAAGGAACAGTAGAAATGTACAACAGTAGAAATGTATGTTGTGGGGTCGTGTGGCGTAGCGGCAGAGTGCACAACTCGGAACTAAGAGTCCCGGGTTCGAGTCCTGACATGCCACCGATCTTGTGCCCTTGGGAAAGGCACTTTACACGGCTTTCCTCACTTAGCTCAGGTGTAAATGAGTATTGTCCTGTAATGTATTTGTTCCCTGTGTTGGTGGCGGCATTGATATAAGTTGAAGAAACTTGAGTGTGTCGTCACCACGTCTGGTGATTACATGTTGGAATAAATTTTTTTTTTAAATGTACAACACTGTGACTGACAATTTGCATTGTCCACAGGAAGACACCATTTCTATAAACCACAACTGGGTTAACTGCTGCAATGTCCACATGATGTGGTCCTTCCTGCAGGCTGAGCTGTGCAGGGTGCAGCAGGCCATCTCAGACTGTACAGATATGGAGGACTGGCACGGACATTGTCAGGTTAATTGAAATTGGAACTTTATTGCATGTTCATTCCCCGGGGGGATAAATGCACGGATGTACAAAGTACAATGTACTAGAGAGTACTACAACAATAGTAATAAAGAGAGGCTAACATCAGGTCTAAGGTATACAATGCTAAAAAAGAAATATATATAAAGTGGTATAGACTCTAAGTTCTAATGGCTTCTTCTCTCCTTTTGAAACATTTTGAAATATACTTTATACATACTTCATTGGTGACGTCTATATTTGTACCTGATATGATATATTTAAAAGTGTCTTCCTTTGATAATACTCACCACTCTACAGGCTGGCATGGGAACTCATGTACATTTGTAGTTCCAAGAAATTGACTTTATTGCCAGTTGTGAGTGGTCACACTCAAAGTTCTTTATCTGTTCTTAAAGCATGTGTTACATCACATCTTAACATGTCTTCAGTTGATATTCATACACAGGTAATTTCACTTCTCTCTTCATCTATCTCTGACACTAGGATTAGCCTTGACTGCCTTTTAACCCATGTTTGGAGATTTAGAAAAAAATGTAGTACAACAGGGGACCTCGTGTAATAAGAGAATATCGCAATATATCTAAATTGTACTTTAACAGTACAAGAGAGTGTAATTGTAAGTTAACAGTCATGTATGGAAAGGAAAAAGAAGTGCAGCCTGAATATTTACTACCTCCATGAAAAATGGAGGTATTGTTTTTGGCATGTCTATATGACTGTCTGTGTCTGTGTTTCCGCACATTTGTAGTCAGCATAACTTCAGAACGCCTTCATGGATTGTGATGATATTTGGTATGCTGGTAAGTCTTAGGAAGACAAAGGTCAAGGTCAAATATGGGCCTCCTAATGGCTGACCTTGGTACTGCAGCAGAACTTTTGTATTTTGAGGGAAAACAGATGTGCCGGTTAAAGACTTCCTCTAACGCAAAACATGTGGTCAGGCAGCGCGCCTACCAGGTTTGATTGATGTTCTCCCTCGGGAATAGACTACATGTACGGAGTTGACAGCCTGACCTATTTAAGGACAAAAACCTGTGTTATTTTGTTCTGTACTGTAGTGTAGTGTACCGTGTAAAAACATTTACAACAAGACTTTTGAAAAAAGTTTATCTCGGCCGCTGCCCATGGCAGTGTCCCGGTGAGTTTATTTGTAATGAGTGTAAGAGCACAGTCTGCACGGTGGCAATGATTGGTCTGCACGATGGCAGGGTTTGGTCTGCACGATGGCAGTGGTTACAATGTGTGCAAGAGCACAGTGCACGATGGCACTGGTTACAATGAGTGAAGAGTACAGTGTACGATGGCAGTGGTTTTATTGATAATAAGTGCAATATATGTAGTTCAACATGGCTCCGGTATGTCTGGTGTAGAACAGGGCAATCCAAGACACATCTGGAAGAGAAGAAAAATAATTTCTTGATCAGTATAGCATCCAATTGAACATGGATATTGAATACTTCTTGCTATTAGCACATGGAAAGTCTTCAAAATTTCTCATACATAGAGATTCATTTATGCTATTTGGTGTGAAAATTTACCTTATACAATTGCAAATTAGAAATCTGGAAAATTTGCGAGTGAATTAGATTGTTTGAATGCACTGAGTTATTCCTTCAATACAGTAGCTAATGGAAACCCAGTTTAATACGAAAATCCAGTGGAGTGTACTGTATATAGAACGTGCATGGCTCGCCCCCCCCCCCCCAACCTGAAAGTTACAATTTCTCAGAAAAGGAACGAATCAAACTAAATACAATACGACCGGAACATTGCAGAGAAGACATTAAAAATTGACGAGCACCTCCTGGCATTAAAGCAAGAAACTTAGCCTGCCATGCACTAACATAATGTTAGGTCGCACGAATTCATAAATTTTCGCGTTCAATGGGGGGAGGGGGCGATAACGTAACTCTGTTTAAATCTGTTCAACAGCACGAATAAAACACAATGTAATTGATTGCCCTTGCCCGTAGTATCTTTAGCTCTATTTTTATCCTATGGCTCTATGCCTAATACCCTTATAATTCCTGATATTTTGCTATTTTTGCTAAGTATGCCCTTACCAGCCTCATGCGTTACATCCGAGCCTCATGCGTTATTCACCAATCAAAAGCGACATCTTGCGACTTAGGCAAATATGCCAGCTAATGAACATAATTTATGTCATTGATTTATTGGTCCAATTACAGCAGCTATTAGCGAAATTCTAGAACATTAAATGCATACTATGATATAAAACAATGGTTTTGTGGTAAACAGCATTTCCTCTTTTTTTTAGCAACTTCGTTGTATAAGAATAACGACACTATTATCCGGTAGGTCGACGCCACAAAGTAAAGTATACATGCAGAGTAATTGGTTTCATTGGTTTTCACGGTCGAAATTGGTTTTCACGGTCGAAATCAAGATTTATTCAACGAACATCCAAGGTACCAAGGTACCTATTTTGGAGCACAATATCTCGGCCGCTCAGGCGGCCGAGATAAAAACTAATATATTCATGGAGGTTTGAGATCTCCGAATTCTTGTTTGCCCGTAGGTGATGCTGAAGGCCAGTAGTGGGATAAACTATGAGGAGTTTGTGGACTTTCTGGTGTGTATTGCTGAGAGGAGGCTGCATGACCTGCAGGTGTGGGACCAGGACGGATCCAGACATCACCACCACAGGCTGGACCTGCGCACCCTGTCATCACTCCTGTCTGTCATCATGGCCGACCAGCACTTCACACTCATGGCTGCAGCAGTACAAGCTCAAGTTGGCTCCCTGAAACAGACACTGGACAAAGTCAATCCTTAGAAGAATTGAAATTTTCTAACATGGACTCAGAAAAAAAAAAGAGCAGACTTTTGAAAAGAAATTTAGCCACAGTAAATTTGAATGTGGAACACACAGTCTTGGATGTTTTAGAGTGTAAGTACTGTCAATGTTTAACCTTTCTCATGTTTCTTATGCCTCTCTCCACTCTCTCTCTCTTTCTCTTTCTCTCTCCTCTCTCTCCCTCTCTCCTCTCTCTCTCCCCCTCTCTCTCTCTCTCATATGTATGGCCAAGTGCTGATTGCCTGTTGACATAATTGAGCCACTCTGGCAACAGCTACGTTGTACATGTACATGTAGGACCAATCATAGTGCCTGTCAGTGTGGTTTTCGCCAGGTGAACAAAATGCTTTGTCATTATTGCTAAGGAATGTTAATAAAGTCAAATTTTAATCTCTATTGGGTTTTGATAATAATTGTTATAAAGAAGGTTGCAGGCTCAAATCTCTGCATTTTTCCCCTTTTTCTCCTTAGTTACCTCCATGAAAAATGGAGGTATTGTTTTTTGCGTGACTGTCTCTGTGCGTGTCTGTCTGTGTGTGTGTGTGTGTTTGTGTTTCCGCACAATTGTAGTCAGCATAACTTCATAACGCCTTTATGGATTATGATGATATTTGGTATGTTGGTAAGTCTTAGGAAGACGAAGGTCAACGTCAAATATGGGCTTCCTGGTGGATGACCTTGATACTGCAGCAGAACTGCAGCAGAACTGTCCTGAACATGCTATGGTCTTGATGTTTTGGTGACAGATTGCTTTTCCCGTCAGGAATAAGTGGTGTGAGTTTGGTCCCCCTAGCAGCTTGTTCTGGAACTGCAGGGCACTCTCTGGCGAAATGTTTAAAAGCCAATAAGTCCAGATAGGAACAACATATTTTCATAATTTTTGGTGTGTAGGTAGCTGAGAGATGTACGTAATTAAATGCAAATCATGCAAATGAGGACTTTATTTGCATAATTAATGAGGAAATTCTATAATTACAGTGTTTTACATACATACTTTCATACATGTAATGTATGTAACCTATGGCAGGCGGAACATCAACAGATACTAATTATGCAAATGATGACCTAATTTATATAATTAATGCGAAAATTCTATAATTTGTGAATTTGGGAATGTCATACTTGGGACATCTGTAAGTTAATCAAAGTTAACATACATCACGATGCATATATCATGTTAATGCTGAGGTCATTTGCATAATTAAAGAAGAAATTTACATTTACATATCAACCCCATATTTCATGGAGGTATGAAGTCTCGGAACTTGTTATTTTTGCAAAGGGATTTGTACATTTTGGAATGGGGAGGAAGATGGAATGAAATATGCTACATTTGTCGATGAAGGTTAGACATCCAGGTAATACGATATGCCAAAAAACAGTTACTCAAGCAACTGGATATGATTTTGAAAACGTCAGACGTTTCAGCTAGTATCCACTAGCTTTCGTCAGTGACTGAGAGACCAGAGGGGAAAGCAGGTTTATATACACAACCTGTTGATTGATATGCAAATAAAGTGAAGACAAATTTTTGGAAGTCGAAAAAGGAACAAAAGTCAGACAAGTCAAGACAAGATGATGCAAATTAGTCTGAAAGCTCCTGTTATACAGGACAGGAGCTTAAGTGTAACAACAAGTGTAACAACAAGATTCCCAGCATTGACATTGTGACAGAAACCGAGTCAGCAATTCGTCGGGCACGTTTACCACAGAGACAAGCTGAAGCCTTGCGCACCAAAGTAGCTACCACCCTGAAAGTCTCCAAACCCCCTGCTAGTAACATCACACGGGAAGAACGTACCGCTCTCAAAGATTTGGCTACCAATCAAGACATATTGATTCTTCCTGCAGACAAGGGCAGATGCACAGTAGTCTTAGACAGGGAGCAGTACGACAGGAAGGTACAGGACCTATTGGGAGACAAAGACACCTACATGCCCTTGAAAAAGGACCCCACTAACAAGTTTAAAGGGAAAATCAGTTCAGCTCTCAAGAAATTGCAAACTGAAGGAGTTCTGGATCGCCCCACCTACCTAAAACTCAATCCCACAACGGAACAACCTCCTGCTTTCTACGGCCTTCCCAAAATCCACAAACAAAGTGTCCCTCTACGACCCATAGTCTCCAGTATAGGCTCTGTCACCTATGAGTTAGCAGGTTTTCTAGCCAAGATTTTAGGACCACTAGTGGGGAAATCTCAGCACCATGTACAGAATAGTGCCGACTTTGTCAACAAAATCAAAGACATTCATGTAGAGGATGATGAAACCATCACTTCGTATGACGTGTGCTCACTTTTCACCTCCATACCACCCAAGGAAGCAGTGTCAGTAGTCAAGGAAGCCTTGGAAGCCGATGATACACTTG